ATTATTTAGCAAATAATAGGGATAAGCTTGACTCTTCCGTTGTTCTAGTACTCGTTTTATTTTACTCACGTCCAAATGTGGGTAAAGCACAAAAATGATGTGTTTTCAGTAAATATTGGTTTTACATATAATTTCAAATGAACAATGCTTTACTATTTAGTGATAGAAATATCAAAGATTGAATCCATCTAATTTAAATTATATGCTCATCACTCTAAACTCAAATATATATATACACATAGTCTTAAGAGAGTTTAGATTTTATATAATTATGGTACAACAAGTATGTAAATAAACACTTTAACAAGTTACTTATTTTTCTTTAATTTACCATCAATATTTATTATAAAAACTATTGCAACCAGCTTTTAAGTGATTTAATCATATTATTTTTTAAATTGTCAAAAAAGCTAAATAAATTCAAATGGTAAATATCTAAAGTTGCTTCTTTACTCTTCGAAATTGCTCAATTTTACTCTTAATTACACGTTTAGTCCATTTGTACCCTTACCGAGCAAATCTTCTCGAAATTTTCCTTTATAATTAAACGAAAACTTCAACCTAAAATGATTGGATGTCACGTGTTCATATTTTGAATGAAAAAGTCGAAATTTACTTCACAACTTTTGATTATTACCCTCAAAATGGAGCGTTGTTACGGATTAATTTTTGTTTTACTAAAAACTGATAATAATATTAGATCAAAAGTTTAATTACATGTTTTACTCCATTTGTACCCTTAATTTTAGATAATAATATTAGATCAATTTTACCCTTAATTACATATTTTAGTCCATGGGTACTCTTATCGTTAGCAAATCTTTTCAAAATTTTCCTTTATAATTAATCGAAAGCTTCAATCTAAAATGATTGGATGTCACGTATTCATATTTTTTGAATGAAAAAGTTGAAATTTACTTCACAACTTTTTATTACCCTCAAATTGTGTTAAAATAGCACAAGCTAGCCAGTATTTGGACTGATCATTCAAAAATAGCCAGCATTTGCCAAGTCATTGAAAAATAACCATTATTTTGCTACAACAGAGGCTTGTGCAGCATAATATACTGGAGTTCGGTGCACCTGTATATGAACTTCCAGTATATTATACTGGATAGATATACTTTGTTGGCTCAAGTATAATATGCTGGAGTTCCAGTATACGTTGCTGGAACTCCAGTAGATTATACTGGAGTATTTTCCGGATTTTAACAATATTTTCATTCAGATTTATCTTTTATTGAAAAGTGACTAAATTTTGAGGACTTTTGAAACTTTGATTATTTTTAAATGACCACTTATTATAAATTTAACTATTGTTGAATTTCTACCTCAAATTGGAGCCTTGTTAAGGATTAATGAATTTTTTTACTAAAAACTTATAATAATATTAGACCAAACGTTTAACATAAAGAAAATTTTGCTATACCCCTTATTAATAAGCGACAGTTTGAGGAGCTTGGGGTCGTCAGGGGTATTTTGGGAAAAGTACAACTGCTTTAACCTAACACACGTAGTATTCTTGTTTTACTCAGTTTTGACACGTACGACCCTCAAAATAAACGCTCAGTGCATGCGCTGGTTCTTGCTCCAGATTTTCACAATTGCTCAAATCCTATTCCTGCTTCGCTTGGAAAATGGGGAATTTCCCTTCTTTTTTTCGGGTTTCCACTAGGATTTCTGTAAATTAACATACGCATCCAATCTCAGACCTTATTGTCCAACGATTTCACTTCTCTCTCTGAATCTAAACTCTATGCTATGACAAGATAGTTTCGTCACAAAACTTGGAAGGTAATTTATATTTCTTGCTTGCTGCAGGGGAATGATTTTTTTTCAAATGGATTTATTTGGTTCTAGGTATTTTTCGGATTGTTGTTGTGCAAAAATTATTTATGTTGGGTAAATTGTTGGTCAATCATTCTCCGTGTTTGTCAAAAAGAAACTGCCACAGCTTGTGAACTTTGTTGCTTAACCAGAAGCTCTAAATTGTCGGAAGTGCTAACGATACTCTTATTAATGAAGACACAAAGGAGATGGGTTGAGTGGGAAATGTGATTTTTTTCAATTGAAGCACAACTATAGAAGTGTAAGTCATAGAGGTACTCCCTCTGTTATACGTAGATTTGGTTGTTTTCTTTTTTTCCTGTGTAGAAAAGGTTTTAATTTTTATTTTAACTGTAAGAATCCAATTAGTTAGGTTTCGAACTGTTTAACCAAAAAATATAATTTCGGTTAAAACTATAATTTGTGATGAAAAATCGGGTTACTAATAATCAAGAGACCAAAAAAGAATAATAGGCTTTCTGAGAATAATAATAAAGCAGCGAACAAGTTTTTATTTCAGTATGATGTCAACCATGATCTTTTCCCAATACAACTTCCTCCTTTTATAGTTGATTCTAGATAAAGGAATGAAACCTAAGCTTTAATGAGACAATTATGGACAATAAATGATATTAAATGAGTCGTTACACAGTCATTTCTATTAAATACCAATTTTCTAACGTATCAGGTATTTAATACTGAATTTGGACTCCTTTTTGTCTTTAGATCCATGTTTTCAAGGCCTTTTGATCCACTGGCTTTAAATGACTCGAATTGATACGAGACTCGTATCTAGACTGCTTCTCGTGCCTGTTTCACTTCCTCTTCTCGTACCTGTCATCTCCCGTACCTTTTTCTTAATTGTTATACTTTAACTATTTGTCCAGTCCACGTGTCACGCCACGTCATCTTCAATATAAATTCAACTTTTTTCCAATACAGATAGTCCCCTCACTTTCCATTTATTTATCAATTAAATATTTGGGAAGTGGATCTTCATTAAAAAGGGAATTTTTGCCATAATCAATGCGATGACAGTATTACCTTTTCAATTGTCTCTTCTATTTAATGCACCATATACGTGTCGTCTTCTCATTAGTTCTGCGATTTTGCAGCCTTTTTCTAAGGTTTTTGTAACTCCACTATTCACGAAGTGATAGTTGCCTTTATTATAGGCTTTCCATCATTACACTTTTTAATTACTGACGGTTGAGTTTATATATAAACTTGCCCCTTTTCTTTCTTTGTCTTCTTCTCCATAAATCTTTAGCAAACGTTTTTCTTCCTTATTTTTGCTTCCCTTCGATTCATCTCTGCTCAACAATGGCGTCTCCAAACCCTAACCTTAGAAAAGTTCCTATTTTAGACAAATTCCCCAATGCCCCTGTTAGACATAGAAGAGATAGAGGAGGCAGACTTCGTACAGGGTTAGAATCTACTCGAGGCGGCTCTTCTGGTTCTTCTTCTAGGAGTTCTATTCTGAAAACTCCTTCTTCTAAAGGTAAAGAAATTGCTGATTCTTCTCGAGAACCTTTAGTTGATGAAATCGTACCAAGTGATTTATCTTTTGTAAGTGATAGACAATCCCTTCAAAAGCAAGTTGCTGGTTTAGACAAAACTGACACATATCCTACATTAGTGACCGAACTTACAATCCCTACCATCAGAGGAGATTGTAACTGGAAAAATAGTCTTCGAATGTCAATTCCTTCCATAAACCAAAGAATTTCTTCTTTTAGGATTGGATACTCTTTTGTCTATACTTACCCTTTTACTTTGGGTTTTAATCCCCCAATTGACCCAATCATCCTCGATTTTTGCCGTTTCTTTAATATTTGTCTGGCCCAAGTTGGTCCTTTAGTATGGAGAGCAGTGGCTTGTTTGAGATATCTTTCTACCAAAGCCACTGTTAATTTCACCTTTTCTCACCTTATCCATTTATACCACCCTAATTTGATACGTCATGGAGTCTTTACCTTAACTGCGAGAAGCAAGAAGGTTTTGGTAAGTACAGAAGATGACAATGATCGTGGATGGTATGCCCGTTACGTTGCTGTGCGTACGGTGGATTTACTTGGTGAAACAAATATTCCCTTCCCTGAGAAGTGGAATTTTGCACGTAAGTTTTTTTTATTTGACCGTACCTCTTTTTCTGTTGAGAATTTCGATTCTTTTTGTAAATTTGTCTCTTTTTGGTTTTTTGTCGCAACCATGGGAGATGTGGAACCTGTTCCCAACTTTCGTGGTTGGGTAGATTCAATTTTGAAGGTTGCTCCTAAGGAGCAAAGAACTTGGAAATCAATTTCCGCTTTACATGACTGGAAAGTTAAAACACACGGTATCGCCTCTTTTCTTTATACATTTTTCTTTTTGCACATTAAGTACTTTTTTCTTAATGTTGATTGTGTATTCTTCTTTTAATCAGGATTTGGTAACAGAGGAATGACAGCTGATGTTGTCACAGCCCTTCGCATGTCTGGTAATGCTGCACTTGACTTGGACAAGACTCGAACCTTGCTTCAAAAAAGGAAAGCTATAGGAGAAGGTTCTAAGAATGAGGAAGAGGGAGGTACCTCGTCAATAGCTAGGCCACGAATTAGGAGACGAGTTATTAATGATGATGAAATTGAAGATACTCCTGCTCAAACTTCGACCACCGAGCCTGTTTTGATTCCTTCAGATGAAGACACCGTGCCAAGAAACACAAATGAATCAACTCAGCATCTCTTTGATAGTGGTTTTGAGAGTGGCGAGCTCGGACCTGTTTTCGATGAAGTTCCTCTTTCTTCATTCGCACCTATTTCTTCCATTCCTTTGCCAACCGTAAGTGTTTCTTTGCCAGCATTGACTACTTCTGTTCTTTCACCAGTTTTAATTGCTTCTACTTCCATTCCTATGTCTACTTCTTCTGTTCCTGTTCCCACTCCTACGACTCCTGTGGTGTTTACCTTTTCTACTACTCCCCCTTCCGCTGTTCCATCTTCATCTGTCCCACATATAGAAGTAAGTTCCAGCAATAGAAGCATGACTATGAGGAGTGTCACACTCGAAATCCCTGCTAATCAAAGCCTCTTAAGAAAATCTGGGAGAGCTGATACTTGGTTCCAACCTCTTATTGGAGAAATTGAAAAGAATAAGATGCAAAGCCATAGTTGTTACACTTTGATGAATGACATAGTTCATTCAACTTTGAAGGTAATTTTCTTAACCTTGAATGTTTTCCTTCTTTTTCTTTCTAAGTTCTCACTTCTATGCTTTATGACCGTAGGCTAATCTTATTGGGACTGAATTGATGGGGCGAGTTTCTACATTGAGAAAAAGGAACGAGAGTCTACAAGGGCTCTATATGAGGCTAGGAAAATAGCTGAGGATGCATTATTTGAGGCAGCAAACTGGAAAAAACAATTTGAGAGTACCCAAGTGACTGTAGAAGAGTTGCGGGAGAGCAAGGCTCACTTGGAGCAACAAAATCATGGCTTAACTTCTGAACTGGGAATTGCAAATGCTTCTTGGGGTCAGCTTAAAGAGGATAAAAAGCTTCTGGAACGTTCTTTATCTAGAGCCAATGATGAGATTAAAGAGCTTAAAGCACTCATGGAGAAGAAAGAAGAATACGCAAAGGAGTTAGCTCAAAACTTAAGTCATGCTCAGAATGATTTAAGAATTTCTTCTGATAGAATTCGTGCCTTGGAAAGTTCTCATGCCTCTCTTGAAACTTCCCTGGATTCTCATTTAGCCGAGCACCAAATAATGAAAAATGACCTTACTATGTGGGAAAAGGAATACAAGGCTTTGGAGAAGGAATATAATGTTCTTGAAGAAAATTTCAACATAGACGTGAGTTGGGCTTTTCTAAATTCTCGACGTGATGCTTTGATGGAGGCTACACAGGAAAACTTTGACTTGCAATCTGAGTTGGCCAAAGTCATAGACACTATCGAAAAAGGTCAACAACCTGCTGATACTCCTTCTCCGGCACTTCGAACTATTGACACCCCCTCTCCAGCACTTGAAGCTCCTGGAACAGAAGAGTGTTTGAACTCCGAAGCAGTTACTGAGGTACTTGAAGTTATAACTCCAGCTTCCGAAGTTGAAACTTCTATGACAGTCTATGGAAATTGAAGTTCCTGTGACTGTTACTTCCCTCGTTGATATTATCTCTTCAAGCTCAGCTGAAATCGCTCCTATTGCTGCTTCGTCAGAAGTTGTAACCGCACATGTTATTGCTTCAGAAAGTGATGTTACAACTTTTAATTATTGTTAATGTTATCCCTTGGCAATTTTGAAGGGATCTTTTGGTGAAGTCCCCAGTTACCATAATGGGGCACTTGTAAGACAAATATTTTGGTGATTTAAGTTTTTCCTCAGTCTTTTATGTTAAGAAATTGTATGAGTATTTCTTTATGTTTTATTCTTGCCTATTTACTTATTTAGGACTTATAGAATAACTTAGCATTTTAATTCTTTGAAAATGCTTTATGATTCTTCTCATGGAATATCAACATGAGGCTTATAAAAGAGGGCCCTTTTATATATATATCGACACTTAATGAAGAAGACGTCTCAACTTCATAATGGTGTTATAATACGATGAAAGAAATAGGAATACACATGTTTTGTATGCTACAACTTCGACAAGTTTTTATTTATGAACTTGAACAAACGTTGACATGTATTAAAGTACATCTATAACTTTCTCGCAACTGTTTTCCTTGTAACAGATTTATATAAAAGAAGAACAATAGATACGAGGTTTTTCTTTATAACCCGTTTTAGTACATAGTCCCGACCCCATCTTTAGGAAGGGTTTGAGAGGTGACTCCATTGTTCCCATGGTAAAGAATACTATGTATGCTTATGCTTGGATTCCATAACCTCTGCTCGACACTTGTTTCTTGATTTATGCATCTATTTTTCGTACGTATCCGTTTTGTGTTTATTGTGCAGTCCCCAAGTGTTTGAGCTGTGAAATATAAAGCCTCAAGCATTTGTTTTTCCTCTTGACTTGGTCCTTTTCCTGAAACAGAAAAATTTGCGGGACTCGGAGGTTCGATTAGAGATGAAGACTGCCTAACCCGTGTATTTTTCCATCAGATTACTTGTAACCCTGGGCTGGGAATTTAAGACTATTCCCTTTTGCCGTACAGGTCGTGACTCATCATTTGGCACGAGTTAGGATTTTTGCCTAGCATCTAAACTCGTTAGTACAATTGTTATTAATTAAAAAATAAATTTTAATATAGAGATACCTGACCGTGGATACTTTTCTCAAAAATAGTATCTTTTAGATGGACAGCATTCCAATGCGTGGGTAATAGCTTGCCATCCATTGTCTCCAACTCGTATGCTCCTTTTCCTGCAATGTCACGAACTCTGTAGGGTCCTTCCCATGTTGGACTCAGCTTTCCTGAATTAGCAGCCTTTGTAGATTGGAACACCTTTTTAAGCACGAAGTCCCCAATTTTGAAGAATCTAAGGCGTGCTTTCCTGTTATAGTATCGTTCAATTACTTGCTTTTGTGCCTCCATTCTTATTAGTGCAGTTTCTCTTCTTCCTTCTAACAAATCAAGATTCACTCGCATTTCTACATCATTTGATTCCTCCGATGCTTGAACGTACCGTGTGCTTGGTTCTCCTATCTCTACTGGAATCAAAGCCTCTGCACCATAAACCATTGAAAATGGGGTTTCTCCCGTGCTTGTTTTTGTCGTTGTACGATAAGCCCATAATACTCCAGGTAATATTTCAGGCCAATTACCTTTCGAATCTTGCAATCTTTTCTTCAAGTTGTTGACGATAACCTTATTCGTGGACTCAGCTTGTCCATTTCCCACTGGATGATATGGTGTAGATGTTATTCTTTTAATCTGCCAACTTTCAAAAAATTCTGTGATTTGGGCCCCTATGAATTGTGGTCCATTATCACAGACGATTTCCCTTGGTACTCCAAAACGGCATATTATGTTTCTCCAAATGAAGTCTTTAACTTCTTTTTCCCGCACCTGTT